ACCCACCACACTTGTGATCACTCGTGCAAGCACTTCAACCTCTAACCTCTCATCGATCTACACTCTGTAGTCCATTGGACCCAATCATCCCTTCCTATAACCCACCACACTTGTGATCACCCGTGCATGCACTTCAACCTCTAACCTCTAATCGATCTACACTCTGTAGTCCATTGGACCCACTCATCCCTTCTCACAACCCACCATACTTGTGATCAGATACACTTATCCCTTCCCACAACCCACCACTCTTGTGATCAGATGCGAAGCCCACACCCACAGCCTCATCCGCGTAGAGCAACAGCTCAAAGACAAGGTCGTGCACGTGACCACCTTAGAGGGCAGGTTAGAAGTCGCTACACGCACAGCCCACGACTATGAGATGCAGCTCAGCAGTGCGATGGCCGACAGGGCACTCATCCAGGCGCAGGTGGAGGCACAGGAGAAGCTGGCGGCGCAGCAGAAGAAGCAAATCGCCGATCTCACGCAGCAGGTGAGTGTGTCTGTGTGGTGGGGTGTGCATGGAATGGGATGGTTTGCTTCTTTGTTGCTTTGTTTCTGTGTTTCTGTGTTACTTTGTTTCTGTGTTTCTGTGTTGCTTTGTTTACCCGGATGGAAGTTGCATGGTACGTTATAAGTGTGTATCTGTATCGGGGATATATTGAAGTAGCTGAGTTTGTAAGCAGATGGAGGGTTGCATGGTACGTTGTAAGTGTGTATCTGTATCGGGGATGTATTGAAGTAGCTGAGTTTGTACGCAGATGGAGGGTCGCATGGTACGTTGTAAGTGTGTATCTGTATCGGGGATATATTGAAGGCTTGTTGCCCTGTCCTGCTTGCGCGAGGGCTAGCGGTGGCTGTGCGATCCGGTGTAATATTTCTTTTATTTGCAGTATAGGGTTATGCCTTATCGCCTATCTATAAGTGTATACCTGCTTGTGCAAATATGTATGCGAGAGTGTTGTTGATGTTATGTTCATGCGCATGTACTAAACGCTGAGACTGCGCACACATGTGTGCTTGTACAAATCTCAACACAACCCAATAATCGCATATATAAATAGGCGAGGGGATGTGCGAGTCCGCAATTCCAGATACGCAATCAGTTCTCATGATTCCAAATATGTGATCTTTTCTCACAATGCCACATACATAAAGTACCATCTTCTCATAATTTAGAGCTCTTGTCTTCGTAACTCCGACAGAAAGAAGACATCCTGGGCACAGCTGAACAGCACCAGAAATATCTGGAGAGAACACAGGCCGACCTGATGCAGACAGAAGACGACAAGCAACGGCAGGTGGGTAAACATGCCACAGCCAATCATATGGACCCAATTTATTTATAGACAGCTCTATTTATAGATTGTTGGCTTTGTAGTATGCTCTGAACCGACCGCTGGGTGGACTGACCACGTCCGAAGACATTGTCTCTATCGCTTGAACACGACCAACCTTTCGATCTGGCACGCCACTGGGCCATCCACCCCTCTAGCTATGAAAAACAAGCGACCAACCAGCACCCCTTAATCTTATTGCTCTGATTGTAAAGTATCACAACCAGCACCCTTTAATGTTATTGCTCTGGTTGCAAAGTATCACAACCAGCACCCCTTAATGTTATTACTCTGGTTGCAAAGTATCACAAACAGCACCCCTTAATGTTATTGCTCAGGTTGCAAAGTATCACCACCAGTACCCCTTAATGTTATTGCTCTG